AACAAGAAATCTTGACTTTAACGCAATGACTCCAGCCACCATAAACAGACAACTAACAAGAGAGGCTTGACTTTAAGTCAATGACTCCAGGCACTAAACACAGAGATCCAACAAGACAGGCTTGACTTCAACTCAGTTAAACACAGACAGCCACACAGCGCTCGCATAGTGCTTAACAAGTGCTTACATGTAACAACTCACCTCGCAAAACCCAGCGTAGCATGGACGTCCGTCTTTCAGTATGGCTTTGGAGTGAGGAACACAGTCGCCAGGGTTTTGGGGGTCGCTAGCATTAAAACAGCACAGCTGGCAAGCACTGATGTCTGGACACACAAAAGATCACACTTGAAAGACCTATGCGTCATTTGTTTTTAAGGATGTTTGATACTGCTTGCTGATTGCAAGATTTTTTTTTCTCCTTTCTTTTATTTTTTTTTCGGTAACTTTTTTTAATATGTTTTTAAGATACAGGTTCCCAACCTTCTTTTGAAGTCACAACCCCAATTTATAGAAGCAAAGTTACTTACAATATTTATTCATTTAAATAGGCATTTGCCATAGGGTTTAAGAAAACACACAGAAAATAGATTCTTCAGGATAATTTAATTCAATATAATTTTTAATTGAGAAATGTTTAACTAATGCTACAGTTGAAATTCTAACTAGTTTTAGGATATTTCAAAATGTGCCTTTGAGTTTTAGCAACATCAAGTCACTCTAAAAATTTCATCTGTTTCTCTTTGTGTGTTTTCCAAAGAGGAACCATTAAAAATCCACTCTGACTCTGACAGAAATGTGTAGTTACAGCAGGAGTAGTATATTACTTCAACTTCAGAACACCGATTAAAAAATGAAAATTCTAGTGTCAATCAAAATTCCATCTCTTTAAAAGTTCTACCAGAGCTTTTAAATTTTCTGTGTAAGTGGGTAAAAATGTCCGAAGGTGGTCCATGCTAACAGCCAATGTTCAGAGCAGGTCACATTAAAGTTGTTAAAAATTTAATTTGTGGTTAAGTACATTTTACTCTATTATCACCAACATTTAAAAAAAAAATAATTTTAAGATGTTAAATACTTGAAGTGTCTCAAAGATCACAAAGACATAACGGTTTTGCATCAGTTATTCCCTCTTAGCTTCTTAAGTTTATGCGGATCCTCCCCATCAACCACCCCCCCCCCTTCCCAGCACAATTTTTGTTTCCTGTTAATCATATAATGTCAATTGCTAGCATAAATTAAATGGATATCATTTACACTGATACTCACTGGTGGCATGACAAAAACATGGCTTCAAGGGCAGTCCCTCTTGCAGGCCCTTGATCTCACAGAAGCCCTTACAATCTCCATGGTAGCACTGGCCACTGAAACATATGGCCATGTAAGTTATAACAGCACTATAGCTAAGTCAATCCAAAGTTCCAGGTCTGGAGTTCAATCCCCACCAAAGGCCAGTCAAGCAAAAACAACAGCAGCTTCCCCGGATGGATGGGACTCGTTGGATGGCAGAGCATCTAAGAGAAGGCAAACTCTTAATTCAAATCCTGAGGTGAAGTTCTGTAGGCAGATAACACCGACACAATGAAAAATTCTGACAACTCCTGCAACATTAGTGGTGCCAAGCTGTATAATCCACTTATGAAGTTCCCTTTGGTTATCCAGGTGTGTGGGTGGAAGAGGCAATTAGCTGTATAGGGGAACCAGCTTATCCTCCTAAAGAATAATCCCAGGCATTGTAGATCATTCAAAGTCTACATCATCCTCAAATTGTGGCCGACGGATGCAAGAAAAAATATAACAACTAAGGCATTTCAAGTCAACCTTTTACTGCAAAGTCAATATATTTATATATTTAGGTGAGCAATATTAATTTGAACAAAAGCTTATTTGAACTAAACAAACACTGCCTAACTCCACTAAACAAACACAATCTAACTCCACTAAACAAAAACAGTCACTAAAAAACCACAGCCTAACTCCACTAAAAACCACAGCCTAACTCCACTAAACAAATACAGCCTAACTCTTATGCATACACGATTTGTAGTACTTCCACACACAATGCACAATTTGTATACTACAGGCACACACAGACTAAATACAATACCTGTAGATATTTGACACAAGCCTAACCCCCATACCTGCATAAGTTACACACACAGCCTAACCTTAGATTATAAACAATTTGAAGCAAAAACATTAGATTTAAACAAACGAATTATCCATAACACATTAATAACAATAACAATGGCACAAATTTATTGAAGAGATATAAATAGAAAAGATTCACCAACCCATCCAAACAGGGGGTTCCATCCGGCACAGTCTCTGGTGTTCTACACTTGAAGCCAGTGCCTCTTGTTTGTAATGAAAGATTATAACACAAGAAATGCATGTCTAACGGTAATCTATAGCATTAATATGGAGCTTGTGCCTCTTGTTTGTAATGAAAGATTATAAAACCAAAAAAAAACGCATGTCTAACAGTAGTTTATGACAGAACATTGAGACTCTGCTCAGTGCTGTTTGTAGTTGGCTGATTGGCATGTATGAAGATGCAAGCACAGTTAAGGAACCCTCACATATCAAGGCGATGGAGAAGACCCAAACATACCGGGAGAAGACCCAAACACATGTGGGAGAAGACCCAAACACACGGGGAGAAGACCCAAACACATCGGGAGAAGACCCAAACACACCGGGATAAAACCCAAACACACTGAGAGAAGAGAAGTCGACAAGGATGTAATGAAGAGCTTGAAAGACTTAAGGACGATTGCCAGAGACTGCAAGGCGTGGGAAGAAGGTTATTATGACTGGTCCATGTTCCACTGGGACTTGCAAAAGGAAATGAAGAAGAAGTTAACAAATTAAACAACCCCTATTTTTTATTTGATGTTAATATTCTAATGTCCCACCCGCTTCTGCACCAATATTCTAATGTCCCACCCGCTTCTGCACCAACATTCTAATGTCCCACCCGCTTCTGCACCAATATTCGAATGATCCACCCGCTTCTGCACCAATATTCTAATGTCCCACCCGCTTCTGCACCAATATTCGAATGACCCACCCGCTTCTGCACCAATATTCGAATGACCCACCCGCTTCTGCACCAATATTCTAATGTCCCACCCGCTTCTGCACCAATATTCGAATGACCCACCCGCTTCTGCACCAATATTCGAATGACCCACCCGCTTCTGCACCAATATTCGAATGTCCCACCCGCTTCTGCACCGCACATTTATTTCACCAACTAGTTCAGAAAAACAAAAGAAAATATTAGGGACAAAACACACTTGAAATATTTTTATAAGAATCTCATTTAGCGCCATCATCGGGAATATTTCCTGAAATTAGTGGCACTATATTTCCTTCATCTTCCCCTAGAAAAACAGGAATAACTGATTTTTTGGGGGTTTGGGGTTGGGGCTGAAAATTTGAAGGAATGTGTTGTCACTGGAAACGACTCTATGTGCCGAGTTTCAGCTAAATAGGTTGACTCTAAGCCGTCCAAATATTTTCTTCCAAAAATACAAAAGCGAAATTAAAAAAAAGAATTTAAAAAATAAAAAAGTTTCTCATCCATGCACAACTTTATGCACAACTTTGTGCACAACTTTGGCACAACTATGGGCACAACTTGGGGCACAGCTTTGTGCACAACTCTGGGCTACTTAAAACTGACACTGCATTATAATTAGACACACTGGGAAGCTTCTGATCTGTTTTGGAATGAGCCGTTTTGTGATCATCATCTTACAACTACTAACTATATTAATTTATTTTTTGTGTTTCTTCAACACCCTGGATCAACAACAATTTTGTTTGGGTCCCCATATAAAAAATCTAGTTTTTTCTTTTAAAATGAAAATTAATCTTTTTCCCAAAGGGACAAGGTAAAGGATGTACGCAGTGTATTCAACAACACTATTATCAAAGGGACAAGGTAAAGGATGTATGCAGTGTATTCAACAGCTCTCTTCTCAAAGGGACAAGGTAAAGGATGTATACAGGGTACTCAACAACACTCTTACCAAAGGGACAAGATAAATGATGTACGCGGTGTATTAACAACTCTCTTCCCAAAGGGACAAGGTAAAGGCTGTACACAGTGTATTCAACAACGCTCTTCCCAAAGGGACAAGGTAGAGGATGTACACAGTATATTCAACAACTCTCTTCCCAAAGGGACAAGGTAGAGGATGTACACAGTGTATTCAACAACTCTCCCTTCCATTAGTCAACTTTATTTATTTATGTATTTTACCCTGTGTGTATTTTTTATTCATTTTGTAGGCGACATGCGAGTCAAATAAGAAATGTAGCTGATCCTTCCAAATGGTTTTCTGTTAACATTGTGTGTTGGAATTGCAAATACAACTTGCTGTTAATTAACACAGGCTTTTGATGATGCCAAAAATGAAAATGGTTACAATCAGTTTTGCAAAACTATACCACAGCTTTTTTTTTTTTTTTTTATAAAAAATCTTGATGTTAATGCCGGGGCCGACACAAAAGGATACGGGCAATAACTTTTCTTTTTGCAATCCACCCCACCCTTTTCAAAAATTTTTTTTTTTTTTTTTTTTTAATTTTTTTCCCCTGGTTTTTTTTTTTTTTTTTTTATAAAGAATCTTGATGTTAGTGCCGAGGCAGACACAAAAGGATACGTGCAATAACTTTTCTTTTTGCAATCCACCCCACCGTTGTCAAAACACATGTCAGTACTCTTGGCCACCCGGCAGTTGGTACAGCATTCGGTATTGATGTCACTGAAATTATTTTCAAAATTTAAAATTTTAAAACATGCAAGCTGTAGTGGATGTTGCTGCAGGGGAATTATTGAACAACATGGATAAGATGAGGAGGCAATTAAAAGGATGCAGTGGTCTGTGTCAAGAAACAGCTGTCTTACAACTGATGAGTTTCTTATAATATAAGAATTCTAAGATATTTGGAGGTTAGTCTGACCTGCAGTTGGCCCACTCTATAAATGTGCAGTACTTTGAGCAGCAGTTATCAGCATTGACTATTCCGATGGCCCCCGAATCGCATTCCTCACCGCGGTCGACAATGCCATTGCCGCAGAATGTGGAGAACAGTTTCCTGGCTGAAACAACAAGTGGGTTTTGCAGCTCAAGTTTTATTTTTCATTACATTTCAAATTTAGTATGGACCCACTTGCGAACATCAATGGATTGACAAGATGGTCTCCTGATGATGTGCCCCCAGTTCTGTGGAGCTGAGTTGCCCGAGGAATGAGACACAAACAATTAGTCCATGCAAGCGCAAATTATGATGTCACAAAAAACAAATTTCAACTTTATGGCAAACGCCTTTACTTATCAGTACTACTGAATAAAAAATAACATTGAAATAAACTAAATTTTACCTGATATATTTAAATCCTACCAGTTACTATTTTTTAAAAAAAGGAAAGAAAAGGCACAAGCTCCTTACAAAAAACACACATCAAAAGAACAGAAAGAGTAACGAGTGAAAGTCCAGCCCTCTCATAGCTAGTTGAAATGCAGTAACGTTTGGGAGCTGACCTGTGTGAAATATCCCCCATGCTAAATTAATCGCACCATCCACACTCAAGATTCGGGTCTAATGATTTGATTGATCCACAATTTATGTTCTGGCTGATTGCAACGAATTAACACCACGTGCTCTCAATGTTAGACACAATCTATGCTCTCAATGTCAGACACAATCTGCGCTCTATGTCAGATACAATCTATGCTCTCAATGTCAGACACAATCTACGCTCTATGTCAGACACAATCTATGCTCTCAATGTCAGACACAATCTACGCTCTATGTCAGACACAATCTACGCTCTATGTCAATATAATGACATCGTCTATATACACACAAATATCAATCTTTCAAAATTTAGCCTTGAATAAAAATAATACAAATGGATATTGTATTATAGAGATAAATTGTCGAGACCGCCCTAGCCCAGGAGATATTAGCTATTCATTTACGATAGAAATGTTTATGTGCATAAAGTATGAAATAAATAAAGAGTTTATTTTACTACAGTTCTCTTTGTAATTCAGTAAATAAACAGGAAGTCTATTTAAAACAGGGGTCTCAAACTAGTGAACAAATTTAATATAAATTTCAGGTGTTCAAATTGTTTTATTTATGTGCTGAAAATGTAAAATGCAATCAAGAAACATTTCCACTTGTTTGGATCAATAAAAGAATCTTATATGTCCTTGGTGTTGATGAAAATTTTGAAGTGATGGAGGAGTTGCTCAAAGTTATTTCAATGCATGAGCAGACCACTGCTTAGGAGATATTCCGCCAGCTTTTTGATGCATTGTGGATGCCTGTATACCGTGGAAAAATTTTGCCGGTATAACAATCGACGTACTGCCATCAGTGACAGGGAAAATAAATGGACTTGTGGCACATGTTCAAAGAAAACTGGAAGATGGAAGAGGAGGGTGTGGAAAAGGCCATCGCACCACATGCATCATACATCAGCAGGCCCTTTGCACCAAATACCTGAAGTTTGAAGATGTGATGTCTGACGTGTGAAAATGCATCAACCATATCAGATCCAGGGGCTTGGAGCACTTTTAGAGGAAATAGAGTCAGCATATGATGTACGTTGGCTTAGTAGGGGAAAAGTCTTGAAAAGGTTTTTTGAGTTGAGAGCAGAAATCAAAGCCTGGATGGAGAAGGATGGGGTGGTTGTTCCTGTACTAAATTATCCCAAATGGCTTATGGACTTGGCTTTTCTTGTTGACATTACACAGGAGCTGGATGTACTCAGCAAGAAGTTTCAAGGCCAGGGGCAGCTTGTCAGTATTGCCTATGACAATGTCAGTGAATTCTGCACAAAACTTTTGTTGTGGAAAGCAATTTTCCAACATGCAAAGTACTCATGGACTCGGGCACACCATTCAGAAGTAAGTATACTGATGCCATTGAAAAGCTACAGAAAGTATTAGATCACATGTTTACAGACTTCAAAACACACAGAGCGACAATTCAAACTTTTGCTGATTCTTTCTCCTTCAATGTGCCAGATGCACTACCCCCCCCCTTTCTTTTTTTTTTGCGCTTCAAATGGAGCTAATTGAACTTCAGTGCAATTCTGAACTCAAGGCTAAGTTCAGGGAGGTGAATAGAAATGCCATTGAAAAGCAACAGAAAGTATTAGATCAAATTGTTACAGACTTCAAAACACACAGAGCGACAATTCAAACTTTTGCTGATTCTTTCTCCTTCAATGTGCCAGATGCACTACCCCCCCCCCTTTCTTTTTTTTTTGCGCTTCAAATGGAGCTAATTGAACTTCAGTGCAATTCTGAACTCAAGGCTAAGTTCAGGGAGGTGAATAGAAAAACAGACAAGCTTGGACAATTTATGAGAGAATTGCCCTCCACTTTCCCTGAGATTTCCAGGTTGTTCAAGCGGATCATGTGCCTTTTTGGGAATACCTATCTTTGTGAAAAGCTCTTTTCCCCTATGAACTTTAACAAGTCAAAGTTCAGGGCGAAACTAACTGATGAGCATCTTCAAGCTATACTGAGGGCCTCAGTTCCATCTCACTCAAGCCATATTTTGCTTAGCTTTGTAAGAGGAGGCGCTGCCACGTCTCTGGCAACAAGTAGAAGAAGAATCTAAGTGAAGCCTAGTTCGTGAGAACCTTTAATGGTTTTATTTGTTATTAATAAAGTTTGAGCAGATTGTAACAGCTGTACTTGACTTTGTCACTTTTTTGTGTGGATTTCTTAATGCCGCCCAGTTTCACTCAGACTCTACCTCCTGTGGACCCCGGCTAATTTGAGTTTGAGACCCCTGATTTGAAATGAATTGTTTTGTTTTTGTATGGGGCCTGAGACTCAGTAGTAAAACAATTCTTAAGGGGTGCTATAATAGTAAAAAAAAAAACACCCAAAAAAAAGTTCTGGGGTGGGATGGAGGGTATAAATAATGGTTGGGTAATGTTGCCCCAGCCCAATAGACTTTGCTTCCCATGTCCCAGCAATTTTAAAAAATTTTTATCCAAAGACATACAAAAAATAAAATAATGACCTTTATAAGTGAAAAGTGGTGATTTGGTTGTGTTTTAGTTGGGTTGTATTTCAGTTTGGTTGTTTTCTGGACCAAAAGATAGGTGCATAACTTACAAATAAGGCAGGTGGAGGTCTCAAGTTTACGGCCAATATTTCTCAAGGAACAAGGGGAAAACAACTGCGGAAGAAATAACACAAAAATATTTTTAAAGCTGGCTTCCAGAGCATTACATATTTATTTATTTATTTATTTAGGCATTTTTATATAGCGCTTATCATAAAGCTCTAAGCGCTTTACAATTATTAAAACATGTAAACTAAGTAAAAACAAATGAGACACTAGGATAGTAACTACTATTCTATAGAAACAATGAAAACGGCTATAAAAAGAGGACACTTTGACACTTCAGGATTAAACCGAAACAGAAAATAATTCAGCTGCAAGCCCAGGAGACAAGTAGATCATGCTAGTAATTTCATTTCCTCAAGGCTTACTTAGCATGGTTTTTTGATTTTGCAAAAAAAATGTAACTAAATTGGCACAGGTTCCTCAACAATATTTTGCCATTGGTTCTGAGAGGAAGAAGCAAGTTTGAAACTGTTTTTTTTTTTGCAAAGGTTTTTTAAAATGTATTAGTATTAGATCATTTAGATTCAATGTTGTACATGGAGCTGTTTTTAAACTTTTTCACTTACCAGATTGTTAGGGGACTTTCCACTGACCGCTCTCTCCCACATGATGTAATTCCCCCCTTGATTTTCAGGACGGGAGCACTGCTTGTTGTGGGGGTCATGTCCGGAACCAAAATTATGTCCTGAAAGTAATATTTTAATTTTTTTTAAATTGGCTTGATAATATTTAGTATCACTGTATCAGTGATCTGCAGCCTGTAGTCGCACATTCATATGCTTGTTAGCTGTGTGCTTGAAAACTTGGCACAGCCTGTAGTCATACACTCATATGCTTGTTAGCTGTGTGCTTGAAAACTTGGCACAGCCTGTAGTCATACACTCATATGCTTGTTAGCTGTGTGCTTGAAAACTTGGCACAGCCTGTAGCCGTACACTCATATGCTTGTTAGCTGTGTGCTTCAAAACTTGGCACAGCCTGTAGTCGTACACTCATATGCTTGTTAGCTGTGTGCTTGAAAACTTGGCACAGCCTGTAGCCGTACACTCATATGCTTGTTAGCTGTGTGCTTCAAAACTTGGCACAGCCTGTAGTCGTACACTCATATGCTTGTTAGCTGTGTGCTTGAAAACTTGGCACAGCCTGTAGCCGTACACTCATATGCTTGTTAGCTGTGTGCTTCAAAACTTGGCACAGCCTGTAGTCGTACACTCATATGCTTGTTAGCTGTGTGCTTGAAAACTTGGCACAGCCTGTAGTCATACACTCATATGGTTGTTAGCTGTGTGCTTCAAAACTTGGCACAGCCTGTAGCCATACACTTATAGCCTTGTTAGCTGTGTGCTTGAAAACTTGGCACATGTGCAACTAATTGAGTTATATCTACAGTGGTATTTTCTTATAATTTCATAAAGTGTACACTAATTATAATGAAAATACTTAACTTCCCCCCTTTCCCTCACCCAGACACACACAAAAATCTCACTGGCAGTCCTTGAAGGTGTATATATTTCCAGCATGCGTAAAATCTATTTTTTTTAAAGTATTAAACAATGAGTATCAAGGACTTTACTCCAGCATCTGTTATGTACCAAATCCAACTTCAACAGAGTGCATCATGGGAAACTATCTTAACTCACAGAAAAAACATGCACCTCAATTATAACCAAAACAAACATAACCTAAACAAACATGACCAAAACACAAAATCTACAGTTTGCTACTTACCTATTTCTGGAATGGGAATTAAGAGAAAAATAATTGCATTTGAGTTTTCTACTATCAAGGCTGCACGTCACACAGTAAGTCTGTGTGCTAATTAAGGCATTATTATTTTTTCGTTTATTTTTAGTTCATAAATAAAAACATTAAATAATCTTAAATAAAAATAATTTTTAAAATTAATACCTTAAATTTCTATTGGTAAGAGATTATCAACAATATCTAGTACATACCATATGACCCAATAGCAAGTACACACCTTGAGTTCTAATAACAAGTACATACCATAGCCATAAGTCACAATAACAAGTACATACCATATGACCCAATAGCAATCACATACCTTGAGTTCTAATAACAAGTACAAACCATATACCATATTTCACAATAACAACTACATACCATATGTCCCAATAACAAGTACATAGTATATATCCCATTAACAAGTACATACCATATGTCCCTATAGAAAGTACATAATATAATATGTTTTAATAAAAAGTACATATCCTATGTTCAAATAAGAATTACATACCAATTGTTACAATTACAAGTACATTCTATACGTTCCAATAACAAGTAATTTCCCTACAATCCAAATACAAGTACATACCATGAGTCATAACAATTACACCCCATGAGCCATACAAAATATACACCATGGGCCATAACAATAACACACCATGAGCCATAAACAAGAACATACCATGAGTCATAAACTAGTACACACCATGAGCCATTACAAGCACACACCATGAACTATAAATAAGTACATACCATGAGCCATAAACAAGTACATACCATGAGTCATAACAAGATTCAACTGAACACTGGGTAAAGGTCCAAACAGTTCATCCGTATCTGAGGACAGCCCGCAACTTTCAAGAGTGTTTCCTCGCCTAGGAGCTACGGAATGGAATCAAACTTCAGACACTTATTTCCAACGTATCATATCACTTAGCGTGCATCAAAAATATATATATATAGCATGATGTTACGTTGGTCTCCCTGCTTGATTTTTACAAATAAACAGATAAGATCTTGAAAAGAAAAAAAAAATATAATAAACTGATGATATCATGAATGAAAACAAAATAAAATAAAATAAATGATAATATTATGAGTACATTGAAAGAAGAAAGCAATTAACATAAACCTTGCTTTGTTATTGAGAAATTTTAATGACATGTAAAAAAAAAAAATCAGCTTGATTGTAGACATGTCAAAGGACTCACAACTACAGATGGAATTTCCATAGGCCAAACCTAGAATTCGATTGCTCATTCCATGACTGGTCAGCAAGTGGCACAAACAATATTTTTCCCTGATGTAGCTCATGAAGTAGGAAAATGACTGTATGAAGAAGCAACATGAAAAAAAAAAGGTAAATTAAAGTCGTGAACAATAAAATTCCTGAGCAGATTCCATCTGGAACAAAAATTGTGAATAAAAGCAAGTGTGTGGGCAGTGTAGCTGTATTCAATGCAGGGGTCAAGAGAAGACCAGGTTACTTGTTTTTGAGGAAACTGGTAGATTTAAAAAAATCTCAACCTGTTATAAAAACTGTTAGAATTTAAATACTATATAAAAAATCTCTTAGAAGTTAAAAAAAAAAAATTATCTTTACTGCTTTGAAAAACATTTTAACAAATAATAATTTAGAAGACCATTAGATGATCTTTTAATTTAGGCTACTGCTCTAATCAAGGAAACTTTCCTCATCTTAACTAAGTAGGTCAAGTTGAATAACTATAAGTGATTCTTTCATCTCTTTACTTTTTATATTTTAAAAAAAAAATAAGTCAATTAACAGTCTCCCTATTTAGAGTTTATCATTTTCAATAACGCAGTGGCTATTCGTACCCGGGCACCTGAAGTGAGAGGTTGGCATTAAAAAACTATTTAAAATTTAATTGTTGGGTTCTTAAGACAAAATGAGGTATCAAATGAATGATAATTGAATGGACTATATGTTTGTAAACTTAATTCTTTACTTTAACTAAAATAAACTACCACAAATGACATCCGAATAGCACTGAGTCAAAATGGACCCAGACACGCAGCGCCGCCATTCGCACCAGGATACCATTAGACTCAAGCTATTCGTATGTCATTTGTGGTAGTTTATTTTAGTTAAACCAATATTTTAAATAGTTTTTTAATCCCAACCTCTCACTTCTGGTACCCGGGAGTGAATAGTCGCAGCCTTTCAATTACAAAAAATATCAGAGGAAAGATAGTTTATGACTTTTATTTCAAGATCAGAGAAATTATGCGCAACTTATTTATTTCTAAGTTGCAGTCTTTAAAAATCTCAGTTTGGGCTGACAATTGTAAAAAAAAACATGAAAGAAGGGTGCAGGGGTGCTAAAAGGAATTCAGCCATGGATTTTTCCACAAGTTTCAGCACCTCTGAACATTAGTATGTCATTAGTAAGTCATGCAAGAAGCCAACTTACAAACAATTTCGTATATGCTGTCCAACTGATGCCCTTGGCATTGAAGTGTGGGTAGACTGTGTCTGCTGAGTAGGTGAAGGCAGTGTATAGAACAAGCTGAAAAGTACAGGTCACATTGTTCAGAAATCATCATTTTCATAGTTTGGCTTATGGCATATGGTGCCCGTAACGGGAAGTTGTATCAATCCAGGCCACACACTGAGGTGTAATAACAAATATTTACAGAACTGGGGTCCCGTCTGCACTACAAAATAAGCAAATGTTGGTAAATATGTCCTTAGCATGTAATTAGAGTGGAGCTATGTATTCAAAGTTTAAGAAACCCTGGTATTTAGCTTGGATGCAATCAAATTTTAATGCCCAGAGGACACCTAGTAGAGCATTAGTTAATTCAGAAGTGGAGCATCCATCACCAGCGGATCCGACTAGCAGGCCACCTACGAACTCACCATGACCACCCCCTCCCCCCCCAAACAGGATTACTAGATGGTCCTAGTTGATCTTGATGGACAACAACAATCCATCACCAAAAAGGATAAGTGGAGCATCGGCTAGTTTCTATTTAATGTAATAACTTTAAAGAAAATTCTTGAGTGTCTCATTGATTGAAGAACTTCCAAAGGGATATGAAGAATTGTTGCCATGACCCCTCCCCAGTATAAATGAATGGAAGAAGAAAGGATCTTTCAAAATCATAAGCTTGTTTCAAAACTTGTCCATATAGCTGTGTTTGATGACAAGAAAACAACAGAGGCCTACCATCCCTATTTGAATCCCAATGCCAGTGTGAATGGTAAAACTACTGTCTTGAAATTTTGATTTCCTGAATATGGCATCTACATGATGTACCAAACTTATCTAAGAAGGAAAAAAAATTTAAAGTTCACATGAGAATTAGAGCCTTTTGGCGAATTTATGAATGACAAGATGTGTATATTAAGGCAACTATTACATCAATAGCAACACACTTTTATCAAAGATTAAGAGATGGTAATATGTTTATTGAGGCAACTATTACATCACTAGCAACATACTTTCATCAGAGATAAAGAGATGGAATATTTAAAAACTATGATGAGCATCTCAATGAACGCTGTTGAGGTTCCAAATAAGCTTTTGATATAATTGTTACAAATGTAACATTAGCTTTTGATATAATTGTTAAAAAAAGTAGTATTAGCTTTTGATATAATTGTTACAAATTTAAAATTAGCTTTTGATATAATTTTTACAAATTTAACATTAGCTTTTGATATAATTGTTACAAATTTAAAATTAGCTTTTGATAAAATTTTTACAAATTTAACATTAGCTTTTGATATAATTGTTACAAATCTCATATTAGCTTTTGATCTAATTGTTACAAATCTCATATTAGCTTTTGATCTAATTGTTACAAATTTAACATTAGCCTTTGATTTAATTGCTACAAATCTCTTATTAGCTTTTGATCTAATTGTTACAAATCTCATATTAGCTTTTGATCTAATTGTTACAAATCTCATATTAGCTTTTGATCTAATTGTTACAAATCTCATATTAGCTTTTGATCTAATTGTTACAAATCTCATACTAGCTTTTGATCTAATTGTTACAAATCTCATACTAGCTTTTGATCTAATTGTTACAAATCTCATATTAGCTTTTGATCTAATTGTTACAAATTTAACATTAGCCTTTGATTTAATTGCTACAAATCTCTTATTAGCTTTTGATCTAATTGTTACAAATCTCATATTAGCTTTTGATCTAATTGTTACAAATTTAACATTAGCCTTTGATTTAATTGCTACAAATCTCACATAAACTGTTGATATAATTTTTTTAACCAAAATAACATGAGCTTTCTATATAAAATGTTAATGAAAATGAAAGAAGCAATTGCCATGCATTGTTACCAAAATTAACACTGTTAACGCACCATCAGAGCAGAGCACGTCAAGTGATGGCGTTTACATCTGTTTTCAAAAAATGAAAAGTCGGCAACAATATAGATTAAACAGGTGTTCTTTGAATTGTGTCTTTTAGTGCGGCCATGAAGACCTAATAAGGAAAAAAAAAAATGGTTAAAATTCTTTTTTTTTAATTAAAATTTTTGTTTATATATATTTGCTAAACATGCTTTTTGAAGATAAAGAGAACTTCATTTGAAATAAAATTTTTATATTTTATGTGATTTGGCATGCATTAATTCAAAGATTAAAAGAGAACTTTGAAAAAATATCACTTATTTTTAAAAATAATCTTTAAAAAGTGTCTTTTTGTTAATTCACGCCATTGAGGTGATAGTAATTTTTGACATGACATAGAGCAAAACATTAAGCATGTAAAAATTTAATGCATCTTGCGATAAAATAAATAATCGAACGAGATATGTTCAAGCTTGAAAGGAGAAAAAGAGCGGACAGTGAAACTGACGTGGTAGGCAGGATTAGTTTTGTGAGGGGGTAGGTAAGAGTTTTGTTCAACCCGTTGTTTTGTTGCATACTTTTTCCAGGTTCTACCATACTTTGTTTCACTCATTTATTTCAAGAGCAGACCGAGACAAAAGGTCGCCCAAGGTTGCCTACCTAGTGAATTTTAGATTTTAGATTTAGAATTGAAGATTTTCCCCAGGTCACTAGTGATTATGTGCAAATCAGAAGCCAATGCAGTAAGTTTTGAATCGTCAATAAATTGTTTTATTGTTTTGTCCCACAATTCCATTTTTGTGGACATTGGGGTTGATCTTGATGGACTTAAAGAACTTTTTATCCTCTAAGTGTCCCTGGGCTTCTTTAATATAATAGTTTTTAACCCAAATGACAACAGCACCCTCCGCTCATCTGGGGAGAGAGATTTGTTACATAATGTTTTGCACTACTTTTGCACTAGATCCCAGGCCCTCGATCGATGGGAGGGAGGTGTCCAAGTTGACTTTCATTGTCTCTGAAAAGGGAAGATATCATCCTTTTTTTTTTTGCGGCTGGCCGTAGCCAAAAAGTGGTACTGTTGTCACAAAGGGCGGAAACAGGGACGAGATGCCATAAATTAATTGATAACGGTCACTGGAAGATGTAAGAGAAATAAATTTGGGGCCCTTAGAAAGGAGAGACCTTTCATCATTAGATTTGATTTGAGGGGCTGCAGACTACCGAATTTCTGCCACTGTCTGGCCTGCATGCATAGGTTTGAGTGAGCAGTTGGTTTAGGGTCATTAAATTTCTTCTTTTTTTTATTGGTAAAAAGGAGATTGCAGTTTTGTTTTCAGATTAAATATTAGCAGACGAGGGCCATCCATTAATCATGTCACTCATTGAGAGGAGGGGAAGGGTGAGGGTCAAGCTTCTGTGATGATGTGTTATGAGGGTTTCTAAAATTTGTACCAAATTGTGATGCTTTGAGGGGAGGTCAGATGTTAACCAAAACAGTGTGATGTACTTTATGGACACAGCGGTGGGGGGAGGGGGGGGCGAGGAAGACATGTTTAAATTGACATTTACAAGGTATAAAATTAGCCACTTTGGTGTTCTTGACATATTTCTACTTGTAAAGATATTTTAAATTAATTTTCATGAAGAATGATAAGTAAGCCATTACTTAATTTTACAAAATATTTAATGATACCTTTAACTGCCGCCAGTCTTCAATGCAGTTCAGTAATGTGAATCTATAGCAAAGGTAGTCAGAGCAATAACAAAAAAAAAAAGTTTTTAAACCTATGAGTTCTATGAGTTAAAACATCTGCCAAACAGAGGTGCTCAATTGGAAGCAAGCTCACAGGCAATGTTGTATAGAGCTTTCAGAAATGAGTAAACCATAGCCTTTGTTTTTACAGAAGTAAATCCATGTTGTTTTGACATCTTAGAAGAATCTACTATAACAAATAGGAGTACACTCAATAAATTGTAACCCTTTTGTTTGCAAAGGGTGGATTATGTCCTTTACCTGTATAAGAGGGAAGATTAATTTCGTCAAAGTAAATGGGGCTCACCAACTTGTCAGTTCCACTGAAATAACAAAAGGATGGTAAAAATGTTAGGCCCTCAAAACTATAAAAATGTACAACCCAAAATTGTACAAGCATTCGGATCAAATTATTCATCTTAAATCAAACTCAATACGTACTTGTTATTGTTAAGAAGTGAGTTTCCCTTTTAACATCCAGTATTAGATCCTACTGCCAAGGTTATCTGTTGCCTAATTTAATTTATAACTTATAAGAATGATGGCAAGGACGTAGCTATGTTAAAATGTTGTATAGCGTGATCATAGTGTCTTCTGTCAGCACAAGCAAGTATATGGAAATAGGCCATTATTTATGTCACTAACTTTTCCATTTAAATCCTAAATAGTTTTATTTATTTAAATTATGAGACCACATTGATTATACCTGGTCCCCCTAGCCCCCCCCCCCACCCCCTTTTCCCCAACCTAAAACCAATTTTTTTTTTAAATCAAAGAAATAAAAAAAACCCACTCTTTTCTTCTTCCTTTCAGCTATAAATAAACCATTAATTCAGGGGCTCTTGGCATTTTTTAGACCACAGTCCTCTTTGCCAATAATAGGAAGGCCGAGGAATCCTTCTTAGAATATAAAATTACAAAGGAAATGCAGCTCAAAGACCCCCCTAAACCTTTTTACAGACCCTCAAGGGATCTATGGAGCACAAATTAAGAACCCCTGCTCTAATTTTACATATTCACAGTAATTAATCAGAACATATTGGAGTGAGAGAATGTCAAATGGAATATTTTCAATTTTAATTCTTGTGTTATCATGCATGCTAAGTTTTTATTACAGAGGTTAGTCATACAAAAACACAACTATTATGATAAATAATAGACAAGATCTCCCTTACTCCCAGAGCAGGAATCAAATGTTTTAAATGTTACCAATTGCCAGTATTATTTGAAAAGTCAGAGCTTCTGTAAGCAATGAGGGTGTCATTTCTTGGGTTCTCTGATGGTTTCAAAAGGTTCCAAGCTGGCTAAAGGTAAAGATTTAAAAACAAAACAAGTTATGTTTTTTTATTAAAGATATCACAAGTTTAAACAGTTCTAAACAGACAAAAATCTCTTGATGAAAATAGACAAAATGGTAACATTAAAATATCTTCTCATTCAAAAAGCAAGCACGCAAATGGTTGCTTTTTAGGACTAAAGAAAAGAAATACTTAAATACTTATGATAATTTAGACTAAACTTCAAATATTCAAATTTTCCCAAGTTAAAGCTGAGTCCAGCATGTAACAAACTCAAAATTGTTCTCACTAAATTTTATAAATAACATTTTATCGAACATTAAAATCACCTTTGTCAACTTCAAATTAAAGCTGTGTAAGCAAATTTGTGAACAGTGTAAATTCTGGGGAGCAAAAATGTATTAATAAAAACAATAAAAAATTAAACAATGAAACCAAATGGCTCACCTGTGGAACCTTAAAGAATTTTATGTGCATTTTAAGTGTGTCACATTTTAAACCCACCTCAATACCAAAAGTCTCATTCTTTTCATAAATACGTATTGACCATAAGGAGTCTTCCAAATGTGCATTCACGTTTACATCTCTTTGGTCTGAAAACAAAAATTAGTTTATTTAACATGAGCTTTCATGAGTTGGCAATAAACATATAAACCTAAAAAAATTTAAAGAGTCATATTTTTTTAGACACAAGACATTATAATGCCCAAAAGCTGGAATAATAAAGCCTACAAAATAAGCGAACTAACTAAAAAAAAAAGGTTTGTTAAAATGTTTGGTCCTAATTACTATAAAAATGTACAATCTAAAATTGTACAAGCATTTGGATAAAATTATTCATCTTAAATAAATTTCAATATGCACTTTAAGCTATTGTTTAGAAGTGAGTTTAGACACAAGATATTATAAAAGCCCAATAGGTGGAAGTCTACAAAATAAGCGAACTAACTCAAAAAAAAAAGCTTGGTTTTATCACAACTGACATGTACTTTTTGTGTCGTATGAACTTAATTATCTTATTTTTAAGTTCTTAAAATGTTTATTAACTACAAAAATAAACATAAGGGTGATGGGTTATTGATGGACATGTGATCAGATGACTGAAATGCGATCAGATATTGAACAACCAGTAACCTGTCAGATGTCCAGTAAAGATTTTACTTTGATCAACAAAGAAAGTGGTCATCCTTCCATCTTTTTGAACAAGCTGGGCACGAAATCCACTTGCTAACACATCTGTCCCAGATTTTAAGGTTAAAGTGAAAACTCTGGAAATAAGTAAAGGAATTTTGGTTTAATCTATAATATCTTTAGCAGACATTCAATTGAAATCTAATGTCTATTTCTATGTGTTAAAATATTGTTATGAGTTTCAGTTAACATTATCTTTCTGAGAATAAGCCAATCAGTGACATTCATTTGTAGTTAATAACATAAAACGTAATAATGCTCTTTTCTTAATGTTACAGTTTGACGATAAAATCAGTGTTCTAGGTAGTTGATATCTCTTCTGTGTCCCAAATGTCAGAGTATCTTTTGCAGGGTGTGTGGAATTCGCTAATTAAATCCTTTAAGCATCTCAGTGTAGATTTTGTCCTCTCCTGGTACCTAACCATTTTCAGCTGTTATATGACTCCCTTTACTTCCTCAAAAATCAATTTTAGGATCCATTTTGGCCTCCAGAATTTTGCAATATTAAATATTAATTTTCTTTAATTTGGAGAAGCTACAGTATTAAATATTATATTCAATGCCATTTCATTAACAATATTTTTCATTTCAATATGACATATTTTACATATAAGCCTACATATTTGTAAATCTGGTATTAACATTTTTGCATTGTTTAGCCAGACATCATTTCAGTAAGATTAGAAAAACCTATAGAAATTTTGGATACTGGATGTCAAAGTAGGACCCTGTAAACCAACAACCATTCCTGTCAAGAATCAAGTGTAATTTAATGGGTTAAGTAAATTCAAATAAGATTGCTTACCTTTCAAAGGCTTTAAACTTAACATGTTTTAATAGTTCTTGAACTCCAGCTTGTCGAGTAACTCGAGTTGTAACACCAACATCAGTTAGAGTCTCATAGTATTTCAAATGTTTTGAACAATTGACTGAAAAAATAGATCATGTTAAAAGGTATTTTTCAAAACTGTCATAATTAATTACTAATTTCAAGGAAAGAAAACATTTTTAGGAGGATTAAAACAACTGAGTGAATTTGGTATTATCAAATCGTAATAAATAATCGACAATCATAAATATCAATTTCATTTCGATCATTCATAATAATAAGATATACTTGACAGTAATTTTTGTTTCAGTTATATGCATTATTCTATCTTTCTATTGTTTCTTACTTTGATTTACATTATTATAAATTAGGCTTTATATTATCTTAATAATTAATATTACTTAACTGTCTAAGTCTAAATCTTTTTCATTTAAGCTCTCGAGTTTTTCTTCCAATCAACTTTTAACAATAACATTTGAGTCATTAGACTCATATGTCATTCATACATTAAATACATGGCATCATGGACATGACAACAATAGCAATAACAATGTGAAAATGTGTTTAGTTTATTAGTATTAGTCATTTTAGTGATTATGAATGTGATTATCATTAAGCAACTTGAGGATATTGATATGCAATGTAGATCTAAGTGTGATAGGCCTACTAAGTGTAAAAAAATATCATTCATTATTATACAAAAGCCTCTCAGAAGGCTTATTACATTCAATAATAAAAAAAAATGTCAATAACAAACAGTGCAAGACAAGAAAAATACAACTTTTAGTCGACTGTAATAATTAATAATAATAATAGTTTTAGACGCACAAAACATCACCGTATCCGTATCACCTTAGTTAGCCTTATTAATTATTTATATATTAATTTATTTCTCAATTTTTTAATTAAAATTAACCCTGCCAAAACTAATTTCATCAAACTAAATATGTTAATTTATGAATAAATCATAATTAGTCACCATTTCTTTTAGTAAATAAGCACACCAAAATGACGACTAAGACCTGTTTACATTGACAACACTTTATCTTGGTAGCCATAATCATAATTATTTTCCATTTAAAGCGATCTCGATCAAGGAATGACACAATTGAAATTAATGATGTCTGGAAAGCTGAGCATTTTAGATATAATTATAATTTACACGTATAAACACTAGTTGACGAAGTAAAAGGGTTTATTTTAAAGTAACACTACATTTGATACTTAAATGATTAAATTGCTCAAATTTAAAATCATTTATTCAAATGTAATATATTTTAATTAATAAATAATTGCAGTTTATTTTTAGTGACCAAATAGGCAATTTCCTTGTAGCTGTCATTTTTCAATGAAAATACAAAAAGAGTACTTTTTATGGTAATATGCCTGACTGGCTTTTGGTAGAAATGTTCTTGGTGTAACCGTTTCCTTTGTTATATATTTAAAAAATAATAATATTTTCTTTTTTTCTAAAGGATAAATAAATATATGGATTTAATATTCCACACTGGGAGAATTTTAATGTTAGGATATAAAATGAAAGAATATTTAGTTGAAGCGCTAAATAACCTCTACCTTTAATGGATTATTAGGATCTGGAGCTGTTCACTTGTAATGTGTTTATTTTTAAAATCAAAATGTGTTATGTAAAAGGAGTACGCCGTCACACCTAAGCATGAATAATAATAACATTATTAAATTTATTGTTGTTACTTTATGTACCATATCTGTGAGAATCGGTAAATGAAATGGTGTTAAGAAAATTTTCGTTTAAAAAAATATAGGCCTATTATTTAAATCAGTTAACTAATTTCCTTATTCAATGAAAATTAATGATAATGACATCCGCTCCAGACCAAAATTTACATTTACATCATTCATTCGTTTCTACTTTACTTAGTTCATTTCAGTTTTAGTACCAATAAATATTCAAAGCAAAGTTTGTGAATGGTACAAATTATTAATGCTATGACTATGGACATTATTACTGCACTTATAAAGTATTCTATTTACTTTACTTTCTGTTGTGATAGTCTGAAAGATGTATTCTGACTGACAGTGACACAATATGTCACATTTTAATAATTTTATAAATTTTAAACACACTTCACTATTAAATTAAATGTGATAATGACTAATGCAGTGTGCTTTAGATTAAATTTGAATTACTTTTTTTTTTTTTTTTTTTTTTACGTCGCATATTTAAGGGGTCTGAGACTTGTGACAGTGTGAAGGGGAGAGAGGGGGGTAAATATTGCCCAAAAATAGTGTGACATACTTTATGGACGGCCCCTATACATTATGTTATATTAATGAAAAGATGGGGATTGAAACTGTTTAACAAAGTAGGTCCTAGAGGAAGTTTACATGAGGCAGTAGGATAAATTTATGGCCCTAGTTTATAGTTTTTATTTATATGCTACTAATTATTTTTATCAATTTAACATTGTCCTGTTACTATTTGCCTGAATCTTTTCCTAGCCTTGCTGTTTACTTGAATGTTGAAATAAAATATATAAATTCAAATGACAATGGATACAAGTTATGTTAAGGCTAACCCTTTGGCCTTGGCTCTCTCTAATAGTAAATAGCCATGCCTTCTCAGATAAAAATAAATAATTTTTCATCATCTTAGATGTTTAATATTTTCAAGGAATGGTCTCATTATCATGACAGATAAACTACTCTGTCCAATTTATAAAGTCATAAAGCCAATAGTTGAATGTGTCCAGACCCCTTGTCAACATAGTCTTAGATGGGGTATTTTATTATATATGGAGTGCACTTCACACATAGCTATTACAATGATTTCTAAACTTTTTAACAATTCCATATTCTTTACAGTTGTTGGTGTAGCCAATTTGAAACATTTTGAAACATTTAGCTACATTGGTGTAACGTCCCGCCTAAAAAGATGGAAAGAAAGTCAGGAGCTGATTAAAGAAGTGAATTTCAAAGCATTTAATAGGTACCCGAAACATTAAATTTTCTTAAATACCTAAATATTGCTAAAATTTCCCTATTAAAAAACCATGGCTCCTATTGAAGTCATTTTGAATCTGAATAAAGACAGATTGATTTTCAACAAAATTAACAACATTAAAGGTTTAACTAAGGATAATAGATATGTCTTATTATTGAAAAATTATATCAGTACTTAATTTACAGAATAGCAAGAGAAATGACGTTTTAGTTGTAGGCTAAATTATTAAATCCTTTCCTGTTGTCTGAAGCTTTAAAAAAAAACCTCCTTATTTGATTCTCTTTGATTTTTTTTTTAGAAACTTTCATCTAACACTTAAAGCTGGCACTCAAGTATTAGCAAAGAAATTTACTGCCCATTTAGTTGAGGAAGATGACAGATTGACCCAGTTTTCAATTGATCAAAATATATTTTTCAGTGGACACCTAACAGGTCTATTTTATAATTGTTCAACATGATTTCATGATTACAGTAAGTGAGTTGGTGTAATAGGAATGGTGTAAACCTATTCTAAGCCAATGAACATTATCAGATAGCTTATTTGGTTTATTAAGAAATTTTGTATAGTTTTATTATGTATTTTAAAAACAAAAATTTTATAGGTTTGAAAAGTTAAGATGAAAATTCTTTTCTTAAACTCTCTTTTAAAGATAATCCAAATGTGACAGTGAATGCTCATATGGAGGACACTCTATGGTCAATATTGATATATGATGTTAACAACACATTTGCCATTGAGGTAATTAAAGAGCTTCATAGAAGAAAACATTATTTCACTTGTATGTAAAGCATTCATTCCTGTTGCACAATTTAATTGAAGAGTAAAACTTTATTGTTTTTGAGAAATATGGGGAGGACTGAAGTTTTTGAAGAGCTTATACTTTGGAAACACTCACAAGATCTCATAAATTAGAGTAAAGATCAGGCGAATTGTCTTTTATAACAAACTTTGATATCCTTGAGGAGGAAAAAAGATAAATGCAAATAGTAAAATTACATAATACCAATTCAAAAGAATAAATTCACTCAAGCATGTACCCCAGAGCACAAATACTCACAATGAGAGGAAAGAATCAAAATTTTTTGTTTATCAGTTTAGCCAATGAGACAGCCAGTTAACTAATTAATATTAATTGGCATTGCCTTTTAAATATTTTTTAATATCCATGTTCTCCAATGACATCAATAAATTTTAAAAATTCCTGACCAACTTATTGGAGAGAGCTTTTCAGCTATTTCAAATTTTAAAACTGATTTATTTTTAAAATTATTTATAGGCTTACCTTAAACAAATTTGTTTAGAAATACTGAATACTCTTGAGAATTTCAACAAGTCTTTTTTTTCATGTTTTTGTTGGCTCTTCATTAGGCCTATTTGATTAACTAAAGATTAATGCAGTGATATACTGTATAGTGTAAATAAAGTTAATCCTCTAATGTTAACCCAAATTGATTAATATTTGAGAATTGTAAAATGGGATATTTGTTGCTAAAGTAATAGTTAAGCATTTCTCTCTTTTTTTTTTTTTTTTTTTTCTTTTTTTTTTTTTTTTTTAAATTTTTTCACCAGCCTGCTTTGATTTTTTTAATGTCTTCAGAGAACCCACAAAATGACACAATATTTTTTTTTTTTTTGTTTTTTTTTTTGTTTTTTTTTTTTTTTTTTTTTTTTTTTTTTTCATGTTATTTTATTTTTTTAAAATTATTCACCAGCCTGCATTGAATTTATTAAAGTCTTCAGAGAACCCACAAAATGACACAATGATTGCCTACAGGAGCTCAGACTTAGCACATGATGAAGGAATGTGGTGAGGTTAACTAAAGTTTGCTATCATAACTTGGTTCTATTTAGCAGATGACAGAGAAATGTGGTACTGTTAACTATAGTTTGTTATAACAACTTGGTTCTTTTTATTCTATATTTTAAGGGCCCACAATCAATTTATTGGTCATTATTGCTCCTATGCATGTAGAGGAAATTTGCAAACTTTCTGTGCCTGGTGTTGACGAAGATATTTCACTGGTTACAAGGGCTATTCAGTGAGGGTATCATGCACTGGAGGTTGGAAGACATGAGGCAATAGGCACAAATGTGTCAAGTGTTGTCGCCTCAATTTTGTCATTTTGGAAGCTTGTTCCAGTCCCTGATTATCTTTGGCATGAATGAGCTATTCCTGTATTGGCTTCTTGCTGGTATGAGCCGAAACTGCCTGTTATGGCCTCATTGAATTCAATGGGGGAGAGGGACGAGTTTCTGGAGCAGTGGACGAGCTCATTATTTACCTTGTACATCATGGAGAGCCTGGATAGCATGCTGCCAGAGGTATTCCTGTAGCAGTTCAGGACAAAGCGTGCTGCCCGTAGCTGGACCACCTCCAACCTGTTGATGCTCATCTGGGTAAATGGGTCCCAGACTGAAGATGCATAATCTAAAAGCGGCTGGACAAAAGCTAGGGTCTTGTTTGCCTGGTTGCACACATTGTTAATACGCTCGTCTCAGTGGACTTCTCTTTGAATGGTAACACCCACATACCTTATGGAGGAAACTGGCTCAAGTATATGGCCATGCAGTTCGTAATGGTGGTGTAGAGTTCTACCTTTGGGTGCTATAGACCATCCTTTAAGGCTAAAAAAATGTCATAGTTATTTTAATAAGGAAGGTAAAATGTGATACAATTGCTTGGGTAGCATATCCAAGTAGTATCCAACTTCGGACCCTGAAATTCATGTTTCTTGCTCAATTAGTTATATTAGACAAAGTTGGAAATAAACTGTAATGAACTTGGAAAGAAAAAATGTATACCTCTGTTATTAATAAATAGAAATTGTTTATTGGTTCAATAATAGTTTTCCTGAACACAAAAGATAAAAGAATTGACACCTCACACATCCAATGATCTAAGTTTTGGCTCGGTATTGGGGAAATTTTGATGTTTGTCTCTGTAGTTGGTTATAATAATAAATAAAACCTGCATTAGCTTCAACCTTGAAAATCTTTGTGAAAATTGTCATACATTTCTTTTTTTCAGTGGCGCGAGATACAAAAAGAGAAGTGACCAAGAAAAGAGGAGTACACCATATTCTCAATACAACACATCTGATGAAAGTTTGTACAATTTCACATTTTAGTCTTACCACAAAATCAGTCATTTACTTTGCCACCATTAACATTATTTACAGTTTGAAATGAAAGCTATTGTAAAGTAGACATGATTTTATTTTCTTTGGGTACTTGGAATAAGGAGGATGCCTCGTGGTTGAGTACAATTAGTGCAATGAGTTTCTCCCATCAGCAATGTGACTTTTATAACGAAATTGAATAACTTTATTTTGAGCAGATGTTGGCCACTTAAATCAACAGTATGATCTTGCCTATTGTTGAAGACCTTGGTAGAAAGTCTAGGACATTACAGTTATAGAATCAATTTGTACTAATTATGGTTTATTGCAATAAAAAATAAAGAGCATTTGAGTAGAACAATTTTTTAATGGTAAACTTATGGATGGCAATAATAAAGCAGAACATGGTACAAATGAAGAATAAAAAAACACTTAATTTAGAATTATTGGTGCCTTTATTTGATTTTAATTCCCAAATTATTATAATTTTTTGGGGGTATAAATCTATCCTTTTTTGTTTCTTTCTTTTTTAAAGATTTATCTTTCTTTTTTTTTTTTTTTTTAAATATTTTTTTTTTTTTTTTTTTTTTTTTTTTTTTTTTATATTATTTTTTTTTTTTTTTTAATACAGATCACGAAAGCAGAGAGAAAAGAGAGGAAAAAGATAACACCTGTGTGATTTATCTTGTTGGCGACTTCGACCTGTTTTCTAAAAGATGTAAAAAGAATCACTTGGTTTGTTCAGCATTATTGGTAACTATGGATTTATGGCCGCTTGCCCTGTTCTGTTATCTATTATCAAGCTGCCTCTGACAGTTTAATTCATATGATTTAACCTTTGACCTGTTCTCTGAAAGATGTAAAAAAAAAACAATTGGTTTGTTCAGCATTATTGGTAACTATGGTTTTATGGCCACTTGCCCTTTTCTGTTATCTATTATCAGCTGCCTCTGACAGTTTAATTCATATGATTTAACCTTTGACCTGCTCTATAAAAGATATAAAGAGAATCAATTGGTTTGTTCAGAATTTTTGGTAACTATGGTTTTATGGCCACTTGCCCTGCTCTGTGATCTATTATCAAGCTGCCTCTGACAGTTGTATTCATGTGATTTAAACTTTGACCTGTTCTACAAAAGATATAAAAAGAATCAATTGGTTTGTTCAGCATTATTGGTAACTATGGTTTTATGGCCGCTTGCCCTGTTCTTTGCCTAGTGTCAAACTGCCTCTGACAGTTTTATTCATATGATTTAAATGAAATATTGTGGATTCAATATAAAAAAAAACCAAGAAATATGTACTAGAGACACTCTGTTCGAGGCAGTGATGTTCAGCTTAAAGTAAGAATGGTCACAGCCTTTAAGACCTAATGGCATGGCAGCATGTAGAAACCTTTACAATAGTTTAGTAGTGATAAAATGTCCAGCTGGTCATGGATTGAGGATGAAAATAGAGGAACAAAACAGGAATGCAACATTTTCAATGCCCTTTTTTTTTTATCCACAGATAAGTCTTGTTCAAAATGCAGATACCACTTTCAGAAACTCCCGTTTTCAGGACTCCCACTTCCATATCCATACCGATATTGGGATTCAAATCGCAAAGGTACACTGTAGAAGATTTATCATGGTTTTTTTTTGCAATTGCCAACATGGAAATTAAAGGGGAAAAGAAAGAGTTTTCTTAATGTAGAGCAGGACTGATGTTGATGCAAACTCTTGCTAAAGGCTAATTGTTATTACTGGTCTTGGCTAAAGGTTTAAGAAATTTTTGAAATTAGGATTTCACTGACATATTTTTATATGAGACCCGCCAGAGGTAGTTCTGGTACACTTTAACATTCTCAAAATGTCATATTTCAATAGACTTTTTTGTTGTCTGATTATTTTTAAAAGATACAGATGTTGTCTAGCCCAGAAATGTTGAGTGCCTATTTCCCACTTGGTTGATATTATTTAAATTTGTGTCTCTTGGTTGTTTCCCTTGAGTAAATTAATTGCTTCCCTTGAATCAGTTGCTTTCTACCCTTTGACCTGACTTAAATATAGTCACCTTGCTTTTAAATTATCCTTGCTCATCATTTCAGTTGGTCTTATACACAACACCCACCTATACATCAGATACAAGATTTAGACATTTCAATGCAAAGGATGTTAGTTGGAATGCCTTTAGTAAGTTAGATGTAAGTACAGTATTATAATATGTAGTAGCCTACTGTAGTGGAAGGAGTATATGCAGTTTTGCTCTTTTTTTTTTTTTTAAATAGAGTATTACACACACACCCACTGCTAATTTTTTATGTGCCTGTGGATTTTGGAACTCATGACATAAAGTCCTCTGCTTAGTTTAGGACTACACCTGCTCATTTTGCCAATATTTTTTTTTTAAATATATTTTTTTTTTAAAGTCATATCCATGCCTTGGATTGATTTATTTTTTAACTTTTATTTATAATTTTTAAGAAATGCTCAGAAAAAACTCAGAGATATTTTCTATAGTTAGGCTGTTTTAAAGTTGTGATTTGTAATTACAAAAACAAATTAGATTAATTAGACACAAACAATTTGTGTCAATATAACAATATAAGGTAAGCTTCAAGAATAATTTTACAGAATA